AGGAGCAGTTCCCTGGTTTGGGGGCCGCCTGCGTCCGGGAATGGGCAGAGTATTTGGAATTCGTGTTGGGGCCTAGTGGGCGCGCGCGGGCGTGGCGAAAGAGTTTGGACCATTACGCCGGCCGCGCCGACCTCTGGGCGCAGCTCGGGTTCGGACTGCATTACACTACCGTGGCGTACACCGTGTACGTGGCCTCGCTCCTGACCTTCCTCCTGCAGCTCGAGGTCCTTCCGGAGGATTGGGAGCACACTGAGGCAGCGGTCCTCCGTCGATTGGTCCGTGGCCCTGCTCATTGGGTTCTCCCCGCTGACCTGCGAGCTCTACGGCGGCATTATGGCATGCGTCAAGAGTTTGCGGACATGAACGAGATTTCGCTGGCCGCTCGCTTTCGCGTCGCTCACCGGGAGGCTGCTGTTTCTGGTGGCTTGGCCGTGGCGTCGGTGGTTCGCCGCCTTGACAGGTCGATCGTCGACACGGACTTCTTTTGGCGTTATGTCCGGCGGTGTTCCTGGTTCCAAGGTGGTTATGTCCGCAATTTGTCCACGGCAATGTCCTCGTTCGAACGCGCGGGCATCACCATCCATACTGTGGAGGCCGACTTGGGAGCTGACGCGCCGCGCCCCCACTCTCGCGGGCAAGCCCGTCGCCTCGCCCACGGCGTGCAGCGAGAGGCTCGGGCAGCTTGTTCCCGCACGTTGCGCAGACACCCCGAGACGAGACTCTGGACGAAGTTGGCCAGGTGGCGGCTGCCGATCTATCCGCGGTTTCGGGCCATCCGCGGGTTTGCAGTGCTGCAGCGTCTGGTCCGGCTGGTGTCGCCCCGCGTGGTCGCCGCAGTGCTTCGCACCTGGTTCAATGGCTGGTGCACGGCCCGCCGTTTCCAAGCCAATGGGCGTTGTCTGTTCGGTTGTTCCATGGGGCGGGATTGAGTCGACCACTACACGGGCTGCCCCATGCTACACCGCCATGGCCAGCTTCGACACCGGCTCCGTGCTGCGCCAACCTTCGAGGGCGGGCCCTGCTGCTCGCTGCGGCCTACCGGCTGCGTTGCCGGTGCCGCCGTCAGCCGGCATTTTCCGACCACGGAGTTCTATGTCGCGCATTTGATCAGGCTGTGAAAGAGGCGGCTCAGGGGCACGTCGGGGCCCTCCGCGCGGTGGACAGCGTCTGGGCGGACGAGGATTTCGGCTTGTAGCCATGAGGGCATGTACGCGCGCGGGTGCGCAACGAGCGCCCCAGAGGACCTTCCCTCCGTTTCTCTCCCCTCCCCCCTCCTTCCCTCTTCCCCGGCGCCTGGACAGCAGCCCTGAGACGGCCGCCGCGCGCCGCGAGGGTGGTGGACAACGGCAGCGAGCGTTTGTGATTGTTGATTGTGCCCGTCGTCGGGCTGGAGTTGAAATTTTGCTCGAGTTCTCGCCCCCCGAGGGTGGACGCCGGCGTGTCGCCCTTGTTGGGGGATGCCAGCCCGTCGATTTATCCCAGGGCCAGGTCGAACCAAGACTCCGTGACATGCACTCCGCTGCACGTTGGTGCTGTCGCTTCTGTCCCCGCCGCGTGGCCGGTAGGTTAAGGGCACAGCAGAATTCCCCGTCCTCCCCCCTCCTCCTCTTCCCTCCCTCCCCCCGCCTCCTCCTCCTCCGAGTCGTGGTGCAACGTTGTGGATCCAGGCCGGGTGGCCGTTTCGAAGCCGGAGCGCTCGGTGCGAGCGCGCAGTCGCCTCCTTCCTTCCTCCCTCCGCCTCGCCTCCCTCCCCCCCCTCCTCCTCCTCCGAATCGTGGTGCTACGCTGTGGATCCAGGCCGGCTGGCCGTTTCGAAGCCAGAGCGCTCGGTTCGGGCCCGCAGTCGCCCCTCTCTTTCCTCCCTCCGCCTCGCCTCGCCTCCCTCCCTCCCCCCGCCCCCTCTTCCTCCGAATCGTGAAGCAACGCTGTGGATCCAGGCCGGCTGGCCGTTTCGAAGCCGGAACGCTCGGTGCGAGCGCGCCGTCGTCCCCCTCCGTCCCCTTTCGCCTCGCCTCTCGCCTCGGTCCTTCGCCCTTTTCCTTCTCCTTGAATTGCCCGTGGGTGGTCATCTGCACGCTGCCCGCAGTTTCGGCGGCGTTCCCTGCCCCGCAGTGTCTGCCAGCTGCATGCACAAGATGCGTGCTCGTCGGGCGATCCCGCATGATCTTGAACATCTCCAGGCAGAGCCCAGCTCGTCTTTTTGTTTCGGTAGTGTTGCCTTTTGTTTCACTCTTTCCCGCCCCGTTTGTCCCCCCCTCTCAGCTGGATAGGGCCGCTTCAAGGCTTCAGTGTGCACGTTCCCTTCCTACGTTGGTTATTCCACTTTTGGTTGTTGAGGCCACCAGGGGTGCACCAACAACGCTGAGGGCGGACGCGTTGCAGTTTTACGCGTCGCGTTTTCCCTCTTGTCTTCCTCCTTCCCCCTTCCTCTGCTCGTTCATCCTTTTGTGGCGTGTTAGGAATCCGGGACCCGTTCCTATCATTTGCCTCGTATTGTGATGCAGTTTCTTTTCTGCTGGTGTGTTGTGCCCAATAAAATGAATGGTCGATCGGACCACAGGGGGATGCACACACACACACACACACACACACACACACACACGCACCACGGTTCAATGTCCCCGCGTTGGCTCCAAAATGTCACCGGTTGTCATCGGCATTGTCGTCGGTCCGAGGGGCTATATATAGAATGTAGTTATCAAGGTCGATTTGTGTATCCGTGCATATGACTATGATAAATGGCCTTGGCTCTCTCTCTCTCTCTGGCCCCCTCTCTCTTTCTCTTTCTACTCTCCCCCAGCAGTCCCCTTCTCTTTCACATACAGTCTCTCTCTTTCTGCCTTCCTTTTCTTCTTCACCGTTTTACAAGTGGCACGCACGCACAGGCTCATACCTATATGAATGACCAGGTGCCGAAAAGGAAATGGGGGCCCAGCGACAGTGCAACGATTCGGACAGCTTATTCCATCCATCGAACAATCTATATCGCTGCCCATGTATGCTGGTACCAACAGCTGTACATGCATACGTGTGTATGTAGATGTCTGTGTATATATACCGTGTGGACCGCGTCCATTATATGTTAGCAAGCGCGGGCCACAGGCAGTGTGATTTTAGCAACCCATGCGTTTGCTCATTTTTTGTCTATTTGGAGCAATCGTTGTGGTCAACCAGCGTTGGAAAACGTAGAGTTGTCAATTCCACCGCCCACGCAATCATCCCACTTCACCACCCGCAACTTGGTTTGCGAAGCGAGGGCGGCGGCGTTGTTGATGAATGCTTGGTGTTGGCTGGTGCACCTGTGGTCGCGCTAGACCGCGCACGCTCGCGCGCTCAGCGGCCAGCTCAAAAGACGCGGCCGACGAGGCCACGCCGCTGGGCAATCCCCAGCCGGCATTTCAGTGCGAGTCGGCGACTTGGGCGGGCGCGGTATCATGGCGACGTCGACAACGGCAATCAAGATGATGATAGTAGCGATGAGGGTGGCGATGATGACCCGGACGACGGCAAGTCCAATGACGGCGCTATGTTGATCACGCCGGTGACGATGACGGCAACCCCGCGTCGGCGACTATGGTTTTAGGAAGGACATCAATATGCGCGCGCGGCCGACGCTGATATTTGACAGGAATCGCGCCCCCCTACCAAGCGCGCAAGGGCGTTCGAATGATTTCGACCCGCGCTCGCGATAGGCCTGGTCGATCGTGTTGGGTTGGCGAACGCATTGGGACAACAACGTGTGATGTTTGTACTGATTTTCCCACGAACAATCCAGATGCGCCACCATTGTGTTGATTGTGTATCTAAGGGCGCTCGAATTTGAAATCATTGCGGCCGTTCGAGCTTTTGAGTAGATTTGCGCATGCGCGCGCGACGCCGCGCGCGTGTGGAATTTGCCACGTTTGTTTCAAAAGGGGCTTTGCAAATTGATGATTTGTTTTGGTAACCGAGTGCGCGAGCACAGAGTTTTTTGCCGGGGGGCGACAGGAGGGGTCGATACCGACTTGGCTGGGATGGCATGAGTCCATAGCTAAAAAGCACGGATGGGGCAGATTCATATATATATATATATATATATATATATATATATATATATATGTTGCAGTGCGCGGAGCTGCTTGGTTAACCCAGGGGGACCGGACTGTATTGTCTCAGAAAAAGAAAGCCAATGCGGTGCACTCTAAGCGAGGTGGCGACGGCCCGGCGGCTGCAGAACCGCGTGGCCAACAGCCAAGCCCCGACGACCGGCACCGACGAGGCGGCGACGGCGGCTCCACAACCGCCCCAATACCAGCCAGGCCCAGTTCCTTACACAAGAGGTACTGCCAGTAAATGCGAGCCCTGTTTGGGGAATATGCACCCACTGTGTCTGTCAGTTTGTGTTATATATATATATATAAATATATATATATATATATATATGTATGTATATACATGGTTATTCCTCTCCCTGTTTCTCTGTTTGTTGTCTCTCTCTCTCTTTCTCTGTTTCTCTTCCCTGCTCATGTTTCTTTCGCCGTATGTACAATGTATTTACATATTGTGAATGTATTTGTTTTCCGCTCTCCTTCTTTCTCTCATTATATCTCGGTGTTGTTCATGTATTTGGTTTGTGTGGCGTTTCTCTGTGTACCGCTCTCGTCACATAGTTCCCCATACGTTTGTTGTCCATGGTTGTGCGTTGTGTGTTTGTTTTCAAACTCCCCTTATTTCTGATGACGTATGCGTATATACTTATATACTTGTATGTGCATATACCCAGATACCCATCTATATAATGGCATATCCCTTTTCTCTCTCACTCTCTCCCTCGTTCTGTCTTTCTTGCTTCCCCTCTCTTTCTGTTTCTTTCTCTCTCTCTCTGTCTCATTATCTCCCTTTCTCTCCCTGTCTCTCTGTCTCTTTTTCTCACCTTTCCCCTTTTTTCACGATCGCACCAACAAGGGCTGTCATTAGAATCCTGTTGCTCTTCCCGTGTCCTCCTCCTCGTCCGCCCGGAGGAGTCCGACATCACACCATCCCATTCTTTTTCACCGCCGCCCTGACCCTTTTGGCGCGAGTTGCGTACACGCTGCCTTTTGGCGGGTGCACCATTGTGCTTTTCGGCAGGCAGCGGCGTGGTAAATGCCACTGGCGGCTGTACTTGCCGATGCTACGTGGGAGTTTCTTTCTTCCCCCCCCCATTCCAACACGCCAAACCTTTCTCAGCAAGTGAGGGGGGAGCAGGGACAGCAGCAGCATGAAGGTGGAGACATGTTATCCTCCTTCCGCCGCCTCCCTCTTGAGCCAGCCTCCGGCTCCTTTTTCTCGTTCCTGCTCCTGCTGCTGCTCATTACCCCTCCCCCTTTGCCCAACACCCCCTCTCTCTCTCTCCTGCTCCTGGCCCCCGTTCCTCCTGACCTGCCGCTCCGAGTCCTCATCGTGTCGCTGCTGTGCCTGCTCACTTTTTCCGCCCGCGCTGTCTCCATCGTCCGCTCCTGGTCCTCATCCCTTCATCCGACCAGCATCAGGCATATCATGGTCACAGTCATGTTCCTGTTGATCCTCTCGCGCATTTACCTCCTCACCCTGATCATGATTATCGCGCGGTTTTTCCTCCTCCTCCTCCGTGTGTTCACCCCCTTCCCCACTCTCTTTCGCCATTGTCAATTTCTGTTTCAATTTCGGCTCAAGATTATGTATTCCGCAGGGTGCCAGTGGATACTGTTGATCCGCGGCTACACCACAAGAAGTTTTTCAGCTTCCCACCCTCGTGACGAGCTCTCTGGCGATCCCGCGCCCGTGGACGTGTCTGCTCTGAACGCATTGGGTAAACGGTGGAGGGTCCCGTTCCTGCATCGTTCAATGCTTCTATGGCCGGTGACAAGACAGACAAGACGGACAGGAAGGCCGAGAAGCTGGAGCGAAGGGACACGGGAATTGACAGTGACGGCACCATGTCTGAGGTCATTGAAGGTGCGTCCACGCCACCATCCACGCCTTGCCCAAGGACCAGCAGGTTCTGGGACGACGTGGCAGGCACACCCGGGCAGCGATCGAAGAGCGAGCATGGCTCGCGCTCAGCCCGCGGTGGAGAGGCAACCCGTCACCATCGACGTCGCGATTGCGACCTGATGCAGTTGATACCACGCATGTGGCCGCTACAGATGAAGATCCATTCATGTCTGCGTTTCTCGACGCGCCGACCCTCCGATGCACGCGATACAGGATGCAGCACTTGTTCGCGATGTCGGAAGAGGTGGAGGAGGAATTGTTGCAGGCGCACCCTGGCCTCATCCATGGCCCATGCCTTGTACCCCAGACCCGCGGCACAGCTGGACGCCACCACGTGGCTGGCCGCTGGCGAGGCGCCGCGGGCGCAGCTGCTGCAGAATCAGGCTTGGACGATCTTGATGGGGTTGCGACGTTGCCGGCAGGAGGCGATTCCTGGATGCAGAGTTCACTTGAGACCATGCTGGTAGCGCCTCGCAGCGAGATGCGGAATAAAACGGAAGACCGCTGTCAATGAGTTCGCCGCCGTTTTGGACATAAGCCCCCTGGTTTCATCCAGGCGGCGTTCAGACCTTTCTGTTCGCCCGTTCCGACCAGCAGGTCGCTACGGGGATCAGGCAGGTCAGGAGACAGGCCACCACCAATCAGGAGCACACCACTAAGTTGGATGAGTGTACGTAGAGTTTGGAGCGGTGGCTCAAGCACTTCGAGAAGCAACCGGACCGGGCGAAGGCTTCGTCGCCAAACAGGGATGCAAAGCCGAGGTGCACGTTCGATTTGACAGTCTTCGCGGACAACGCCAATGACAATACCTCGCGCTATCGGCTTGGTTCGTGGCGGGTGGGTATGGGATGGGCAAACCGTGTCGCCGCGAATGCGACGAACTCGGGTGGTCTTTCATTCTGGAGTTCGAGGGCCTGGCCGCGGCGACTAAGGAGGCAGGGGCCGAGCAGGCTCACTGGGCTTTCCACGTGCGCCCAGGTATGTCGCGAAGTCATCTCGATTCAGATGCCTGCGAAGAGGCGAATTTCCATATGCGTCTGGTTTGACGAGGATTGGGGGGCAGGTCGTTCGCGAGCTGGCGCTTAAGAAGATGCCGTCAGCGCTCGGGGACGCGACCCAGGGCCAGCTGTGCTTGCAGTGGGAGGAGCACGCGAAGGTCGTTGTCCACCCTATGGACGCCTCGCAGGCACTCTGGCACTCTGGCAGTGGGCTGCCATTCAGGACCTCGGGCTGGACAAGCAGACGCTGGTTGCAGCGGCTGGTAGTTGCTCCCAGAGGTGGCTGGTCACTTGGGGCGCGTCGACGTCTGTTCGGATCGGAAAAGTCCACGTTCTGCGCTTGGAGAGTCTCGGCCATTTGTCACTTCAAGGCAAAGCTGCAAGCCTCCAAGGCGCCAGCGTTGGAACAACTTTGTCGAACGCGCGGGGTGATCATTCCTCGACAGACACGCGGTGATCAGGCTGCGCTGGGGAGGTATGCCAGCGCCTGAACGTCCAGCGCCGTGTCTACTCATCGGCGCCGTCGGTGGCCCGTCGTTGTGGACTCGTTTTTTTTTTTTTTTTTTTTTTTTTTTTTTTTTTTTTTTTTTTTTTTTTTTTTTTTTTTTTTTTTCCAAGGCGTTGTCCTCCGCCTCCAAGTTATTTGCGTGAGTTGTTGTCCAGGTCGAGTGCTGATAACTGCGGCGACTGGTCTGGGCTGCGATTGCGTGTGCCACCATTGGAACGTCCACAGTCCAGGCATCTGCTGGGGCCAGATGATCACGAGTTTCCAACGCCTGCGGCATCATCTGGGCCCCGAAGACACTTCACTTTGATTGCGCGGACGCACTTTTGGGCGATGCCAACATCTCGGACGCCAGTGCAAAGGCAATTTCAACTTCCGCGAGGCAGCATGGGCGCCTGCGTCTGTCGCAGGGTCGGCGTCCTCGTCGACCTCCTCTGCTCGTGGCCCGTCGTCGCAAGGGGGCGCCCGCGCGCCGCTCCTTCTTTCCGACGCGGGCAGCGCTCTCGGACATCTTGTGGCGGCGACAGTTGTTGGAAGACGTCTTGGAGGCGATGCGCTGAACTCGCGAGCGATGCCCTGGCCGACTGGCGGCGCCCCATTTGGCGAGCTCACCGCGTGGACATGCATGTCGCGAGCGCGGCGACTTGCGCTTCTGGTGGAGCGTCGAGGAGTTGCGCCGACGGCGCGAGAGTCGCGCGGGCACTGGGGCCCGATCTCCCAGAACCCTCCCGTCGCGGGCAGCGGGGCAAAGCAATGCCTGAAACAAGTCTCGGCGTGGAAGGCGCCCCCCGGGGCCTCGCTCCGCCCGCCGTCGAATATTTCAGGCGCGTTCCAGATCGGGCCCGCGACTCTGCTCCCGAGCTTGACCTTGTCCATTGTGCGGCTTGGCAGCGCGGGGGGCGGGGGGGGGCGCGGGGGTCTGCGCCTGTTGCTCGGGCTTCCTCCTCCAGGGGCTCTATGCGCCGATGGAGTTCAACGCGTCGCCGGGGGGGGTTGGCGCCAAAGCCTGACCGCGCCGACGTCGACGCCGATGAGCTCGCGCAAAGTGCTGCAACAACGCAGCCGCGGTCGCTCACCCACCCCCCACCCCAGCGGCGAACTAGGCCGGAAGCTGCGCCCAGAGAGGCTCCATTGCCAGGCTGAATTTGGTCGCCGGCGCTGTGAACCTCGACGCGGCTGCCCGCGGGGCCAGCTGCTGGGCCGTCACCGCCGGCTACCAGATCGCGCCGAGTCTACAGCTGCATGGCCTGGCGCAGGCGTTCTCGAGCAGCGCGTCGGCACGGCTCGAAGCTGACAATCCAAGCTCTCCGCTTCATGGGCGCATCTTTCCTCGCCGAGGGCCCCGAGCTGGAGGCCCCCTGCTGGGGCGCGCGGCAGGACAGCCCGTTCTGTGTCTTTGTCAACATCTCCGTGTTCAACCAACCTTTGTTGCTGGACAACGAGAACGCGGTCGCGCTGTCTAGGCGCGGCGACGCTGGCGCCCGCGCGCGTGGGATTGGCGCGGTCTTGGATTCTGAAAGAGGAGACAACTGCACGGGGCCCATCTTCAGACGGGCCCGCAGCCTGGCGCTTTTCTGTCTGGAAACCAAGGAGCGGCCATGCAGGCCGAGGTCCGAGCTGCTTCGGCCACTGCTGACTTTCCTTGGGGCGCGTTTCGCGTAGCTGGTTCTAGCGTTTACCTGCGGCCCCTGGCTGAGCCCGATGTTGCGCTCGAACGGCTACGGTGAGGGCCTTCAACGAAACCCCAGGACAGATTCCCCCAGCGGCGCGTCGATGGGGCCCACTTCAAGTTGCGACCGTCACAAGATTGCGATCGAGGGCCCTCCTTGTGATTTCCCATCAGGCTCAGTTTGGCATTCCCCCGTGGTCCTTCACCCGTATCGAGTCTCCCCTCCTCGCCTCCCTCAGCTGCGCCCCTTCGTCTACGCCCCGACGATGCGTTCGGCTCTGCTTCGAGGGGTGCGGCGGGTCCGTTATCCCAAGCTTGCGTGCGCGTCGCGGCCACACGTCGAATGCGCGCTGCCGCGCTCTCGCTCGCCCCCTTGCGCGCCCAGATCTCATCGGTTCGCTCCCTGGCCGCGAAGGTCTGCGGCGTGCGCCGGCGGGGCTCGGGGCTGCATGCGCTTCCGCGTTGGCGCTCGTGCCGCCTTGCTGCGAGCCTCCGGCGGGCCTTCCTCGGGCGCCAGCGACGCGGGCTGTTGCGCGCAGGTGGTCGCGCGGACCGTCTCCGGATTCAAGATCCGACGGGCGAAATGACACAGCGGAGGAAGCCCCGCGGACATGGGCGCATTGAACGCGCTCGAACTGCCCCGGGGCGCAGGCCCCGCCCCCGCTCGGCGGCCCGTTATCCAGCTGCCCACGGGCAAATTCCGCGCGGCGTGGCCCCTCGTTGTCTCGCAGAAATGGCCTGGAGGACGTTCGCGAACACATCCTCGCAGCGCGAATCCTCCTGCGCTTTCGGATGCCACGGAAAAACAGACCGCGTATCATACCAAGTTCGCTCGCGCCTGTGACCGCATCTGTTTGCCTACGTTGCATCGATTGGACTGCAACCGGGGCGCATCGAGTTTCGCTCTCGCGTCGCGTGTAGCTCGCCCGCTCTTTCTCACTGTCTTACAACACCATGCTCGTCGTGTGGTCGCCATCGATGCTCAGGAGCGCGGGCTCCGATGACGCACGAGGGATCTTTGGCCCT